TCTTTAAAAAAAAAATTGTAAGTTTCCACACAACATGGGTGTTACCATTGTTAAATTAAATCTGCAGGTTGGACTTTCTCTCAGTCGTTTTTTTCCCCCATGTCAAACACACTGTAGTGGGCTAGAACAGGCACCCTTAGGACACACTCTGCCTCTGCCAAATTACTCATGGACTGCTTCCTCCCTCTCCTGCAGGGTGACTGATGTAGCTCTCTTCACAAGCGACAACAACAACAACAAAGACGACAGGTAATGACAAGATTCATATTCAGAGTCCGATCTGAGCTGCATGTCTACACACATCATGCGCTGAAATCACGTCAGGATGCAACTATAGGCTGTTCTTCTTTCGTTCTCTTGTTTTATTACTGTGAATGAGAAGGCAGCGTCTATTATCGGCTGTCATGATGTGAGTTCACTTCAAAGCGAGTTGTTCTGTGGCAGCGAGCCGCCCGTTCCTCCTACTGTATTCATCTGCACCTCACACAGACTCACACCAACACCTTTTTGTTGCTCTTCAAAGTGCAGGAATACAATCTGTTCTCTCACACCATACCAGCACACACACACACACACACACACACCGAACACACACTCACACACACATACTGAACACACAGAGCTACTTATCCCATCACTGCCAACACCGAGCACACAAACAAGGGACATATACAGAAATGGGCTCCCATTACAGGTATTTTTGTTTGGCAAACAGCCTGTAATATCAGAAAATGTGTGTAGGTGAGAGAGTTTCTGTGTGTGTGTCGAATGAACAAACCGTAGAGACACATACTGAGCGCTCTAAATGAACAGTTATGTGAAAGACACCACTGAAACCAAACATAAATCTTAATAATACAGACTATTATCCAAAAGTGAGTCCTAACAGCGTTCCTGTTTTCTGACTGTTTCACCACTGAGGATTAATTGAGCTGAGCTGATTATTCTTCTGGTTCTGAAGATCTTATGATATGTCTTATCCATATTTAAGCGCCTAGCTGACATGATTGACAGGTGGGAGCGATGTAACGGTTCATCAAGAGGTTTAAAACCCGCCTCAGCTCCAGCTCTCGGCCTGTCGTTAGGTTGACTGAAAGTTAGGCTGAGACAGGATTTCCAGCATGGAGACCGCCATCGATGGGACTCCAAAGCCCCCTGCAGGAACCGAGGGGTGACGTCTGTGCTGGACATGTGACGCATGGATGAGATACAGACGGATGGGCTGCAAGGTTGTTAGTTTTTGGCATGGGAAAAGGTTGGGAAAGCCCATTTAAGAGTTCAGAAATTTCCACCAAGGTGTTCATCTTTGGTAATCTCAACTGCGGAGACGTCTTTAAAATTAAATAAAGAATAATGCCTGAAGATGTTTTTTTACTGAAGTTTTAGCTGGATATCAATCACTTTAATCCTTTAATGACTTCAACCGCCCTTCTGTTAATACTGTTGTCTTTATCTCCCACCCCTGATATAAGACGGCTATGAATCCAAACCATGTGTCACATTTACAACAGCCCGTTACTCAAATGGCCACATCTCTGTTTGTGGTGTGTTCGCCCCCTGCATACATCACAGATTAAATTCCTTTCCTCGGCAGACGGCTCGAAGGCGTCCATTTTGTTTGTTTGTTTTTAGAAGCGGTTCAGCTTGAGATTTATCTGGAACCCCCTGCTGAGAGGGACAAAAAAACCTACCCCGCCGCCCCCCAGCTCCAAGTCTGCCCTCCGACATGCATAATGTTATGACTAATCTGCTGAAAGAGAGGAGGGCCTGCAGAGGGTGAGAAAGAGGGGGACAGCAGCAGGAGGGGGGGGAGAGAGGACAGAGGGGAAAGCAGAAAGGATAAGAGCATTCTTTGGGGGTAAATGTGATGAGTTTGTCGTCATTTATCAGGAACACCTTGGCTGCAGGCTGTTTTGAAGACGTATAGAGGAGATAGAGGGAATCATTTCCACTCAGGGTGCGTTCGAATTGTCATTTTTGCTTAGGAAGGTTCCCAAACTGAGTGAAATGACCCGGAAGCATTTAAGTGGCGGCCATGATAAGAGCCGTTCGAATTCTCTAAAAGATAATGAAAGGTGGGTCAGTGCTTCCTTTATAACCTCCTTTAGCATAGGATACACTGGACCATCCTTTACCGAAGGAGATGACATATGCCGCCCCACAATGCCTTGTGGCCGCAACACTTAAAGCGAGTCGCGAATCCGACCGTTCACGAACATTAACGATGACCGTAAAGTGACACAGATCGTGTAAGGGATAAAAAGATAAGAGACATTTTTATCCAGATGATGTTTTATTCAACGTATTTCATTCTCTTAAGAATGCTTTGTGCAGTTGTACATTTGTATGCTTAAAACATTATGTGTAGGCTATATCTTACATAAATGTAACAATTAATTTCATACAATCATATTTATTTTGATGTTGATTTCTGATTGGACAGGAAGCTGATGGTTTCCCTTTTTGTTACTTGTAGCCTGGTAGTCTATATTGCTTTTATTTCAATCCCAACCTTGTGGTGATTAGGATTATTTCACCGGTAAGAAGGCACAGGGGAAAGTTTTTTAGATGCGGTTTTAGTAGTCTATTTTCTGAACATTGTAGTTTCACCACGGCAGACCCACGTCATTAACCTCCGCCGGCCCGTCGCATTTAATGACGTGGCCTAGTGGAAATGTGGTCGGATTGTCAGAGCAACGCAATCGCCTTTCCCTAAGTCCTTTATGAATTCTCCCAACATCTTTCCTTAACCTCATGACGTTTTCCCCGGGGTTAAGGTAAAGTGGATAGTGAAAGGAGATAGGAGGGACAATTCGAACGCACCCACAGATTCGACGTCTCACCTCAAACCTCGAGAATTTAAGATAATGGTGAAAAAAAAAACTGTTCAATTAGCTCCAAAATACCCCGTTATCATCTGATGTGCTAATTAAGAAACACCTAAAGAAATGCAGCCCTTACTGTCTTCATACCACATGACATGAAGGTCTGTAAAAGGATGTGCTGCTACCAGTCGTCAAACCACTCACAAAGACAAACAAGGGTTTGTTTGTTGGCTTCACAAAACGGATCCCCAAAGGTTGAACCAGCATGGCAGCGTGAGCTACACAGGTTTTTCCATTATTCATAATATCCACCAACACTCTGCTCCTATGTCACCAATCCAAGCAGAAATCTCTGCTGTCAAACAAACGTCCGTGGCACCAACCCAACCCGTCCTCCTGCTTCAGTTTGAGTTTTTAAATCTCTGTGTTGACTTCAGGAGTCGATTTGATGACAGGCCATTCAGAAAGATAATGTTCTGATTTCTTTTTAGTATTTTAAATGACCTCAAATGTAAGGTCAATGAAGTTGCAGATTTAGGAGTTTAGTGTACCAACAACAACATAAAAGCTACATTATGTACAGATCGCTCAGCTTCTGGACTATGAGAGCAACGTCAAGCTTTGTGCCCACATCCATCAGGCTCTTAACTATACTCTTTTAACCTCTCATAGCAATCATCAAGACACTTTTCACATTTATACACATTTCACGAGTTAGCTTGATTGTCTTTTCTTCTTTAACCCACATTCGAATCTTTAGTATTATTTTACGCTGATCTGTCATGCATCATTTGTTTAGGCATACGAGCTTCACTCACTCAGGACTCTTTGATTGCACTTTGGGTGTTGATATGTGATGTGTTTGTGTGTGTTGTTTTTTAAGCTGTCACTCATTTGAGCTGTGTGCACACTTTTTTTACACAAATGAAGTTCCTATCAAGAACAGGCTGCTGTGGCTCAGTTGGTAGAGTTGGTTGTCTCTCAACCAGAAGGTCAGGGGTTTGATCGCCAGCACCTGCAGTCACATGTCCGATGTGTCCTTGGGCAAACACTTAACCCCAAATTGCTCCAGCTGCTTAGATGGGGGCCACTGAATGTGTATGAATGGGATTAGTTCCTTCTGATGGTGACTTTACACTGCAGCATCTACCATCAGTGTGTGAATGTGTAGGTGTGACCTGTGGTGTAAAAGTGCTTTGAGTAGTCAGAAGACTAGAAAAGTGCTAAACAAGCTAAGTCCATTTTACCATCTAAGAGATAAATTAAGTTATTTGAATTATTAATTTCACCCTGCTCAGCATCACAGATTTATCAGCGGTCCCTACACTTGACCAAGATTCTGAGGGACAGACACGTTGGTGATGCCGAGCATGAGGAGTGTGCAGGATATTTTCTTTTCAATGTGAAAGCTTATATAATGGAACTGTATATATCTTATATACTGGAGAGGAGAGGGTATCATAAACACCAAAAAGATAAACTCACAGGAGACATTAAAACGACTATATTCAAAGATTATCATAAAGTGAGGATGAACTTTAGGGGTAATGGGATTTTCTGGACAGTTGGCAGGGATAATTGTTTGTTAATGCTGGGACCCAGGCAAAATATTTCTCTGAAGTTTTATTCCAAAAGAAGCTCAAAAGTAGGTCAACAGCGTGACTACGTTTTTTCAAACCCCCTAAAAGCAACACACTTCACACACATTCACGCACAAGCACATTTATACGATTAAGCACGCACCAGAGGCATCCTGATCAGGGCGGGGGATAATTATATTAGTGCTTAGCGCATCTTAACAAGGCGATTCTTCAAACTCCATGGAAACCATGAATGCAGCGTGTGTGTGTGTGCATGTGCATAACTCATACTTACATCCTGATTGACAGGCACATCACAATGTTGTGTTTATGTACTGAGTAAGGTAATATGATAAATGAGATGTTAGTGTAGATACAAGTGTAATAGTTTAATTGGGGGGGAAATCAGGACATTTGAAGTGCTTAAATGCTTGAAACTGGGACAATCATTGACTCCCAGTTTACTCCAGGGATCTAGATTACTTCAGCATGGTTAAAATAAACACAGCAAAAGATTGAACACAAGGCGAGAAGAAGGAAGCACAGCAGCGAGGGAAAAAAAAGCATTCAGGAGGAGGTGGAAGCATGTACTTACTGAGCACGTAGAGGGAGAGAGCGAGGCCCGCCAAGCAGAAACCCTCAAAGAAGCGCAAGGTGCTGAACATGGTGACGTTTACAGAGAAGGCAACACTCAGACCAAACACCAGCATGAAAAGAACCGACAGAATCAACACTGGGTGCCGACCAAACCTTTGAGGCAGAGAGAGAGAGAGAGAGAGAGAGAGAGAGAGAGAGAGAGAGAGAGATTTACAAAGTGAGGGATGAAAGCTTTTGGTGGTGCAGGTGGATAACGGGGGATGTTACAGTCTTTGTGCCCCCTCTGACACTGTGGACATCCTGGTCTTAAGAGGGGGGGGGGGGGGGGCTCTGGAGGTCAATGGGTCAGGTCAGAGCATAGGCCTGGCGTGGCCCATGCATTTCTTTACATTGTTGTCGTGGTAACTGATTCTAAACACAATGCAGGGATTTATTTTTCCCACGCTGCAGCTCAGATGGCTCCCTGACTGCAGACGTGACGACAGCATGTCTTAAAGGGTCAGTCCCCAATTTTTGTTTGACCCCAAACCATAGAAGATATAGTTCTTAAAGATATAGACAGTAACGTCTCTTGATTAGCTGGAATATTTAGGACATTGAGCCTCATGCAGGTACGATATCAAATCATTTGTAGCATTCACTAATTTCCCCAACTTTCTCTTTGGTATAAAACTAATCTCACAAGTGGTCACATATGTTCCTTTAGTCCAGCTTTCTTCACTTAATCTGCAACCACTAGTCCAGTGATTGAAAGCCAACCGCAGTAACAATCAATAGCCAACTTTTCTAATAAGTAAATAAATCGTTTTAATTGTCTTTAAAGAAAAAATGATTAAATATTTCCTGGTTCCACCGTTTATGTATTTTCTTTGACTGCTAAAACAAAAATATCAAAACAGCACGCACATGAGTACTGGGTGCTTGACGGAAAATATATCCAAAGACAGAAGAAAGACTAAGTCAGCACACCAGACGCTGCTCCAGTTAACATATAATAGAAATGATCACCATAACCAGTCATTCTGCAGAGCTAGGGGCTAGATGGGGCTAGATGAAGGACTGTTAAAATGGGAAAAGTCTGTTATTCTTACGTATTTAATTTCTTTTAAGTATTGACCAAATTAGAAGCAATTTGAAAACATCATCCTTGTGCTCCTGGAATGGCCAAAGAGACATTTTCAGATGGTTTTGAACTCTCACAGAGGATGGTGTTTCATAGTTTCAGGCTGTCTCTCCACAATTGACTTTACTTTGGAGCTTAAATCAATTATTCTAAATACATTTGGGTTAGAAAACATGTTAAAAAAAACATATAAACAAAACTCAAACTGCTTGAAGGCAGAAAACTTCAGAAAATAGAGACCTAAAAATCTGCACATTCAAACCAACTCTGTTGTTAGAATTAAACGAAGGAGACAAAATATAAGTCATTCATACCCTAAGGATAAAATCTATCATCAAGAGTTAAATCAAAGAGGCACAAAACTGACACAGGAGAGGCGGCTTACCAGTCGGCCATGACACCCATCACTAGGTAGCCAAATATGGAGCCCACCAGCAGAGAAAACTTGGCAATGTGCACCTTCCAGGCTGAGTCACACACCAGGTTCCACTGCAAAGAGACACAAGGACAGACGGAGGGGAAACCAGTCAACATGTATTCAGAGAAAAACCTCCCACAGCGAGACAACGGGGAAGTAAACATCAGCCACATCAGCTGCACAGAAGTCTGTCAAAGTCTTTCACTCTCTGACTCACTGTGTTGATAATTCATGAAGGTTGATGAGTGTGCAAACATGCCAACAACGCCTTTGAAATATTCAAATGTGTGTCATGTAGGGAAAAAGTGAAGGCGTGTGTGTATGTGTGTGTGAGAGAAAAGAGCGGTGTGTGTGAATGTGGGTGTGTATCTATAATAACTGAAATCAATAGCTTTGCACTCTCTCCTCTGAGCACATGGGTCAGTGAACACACCGCTGCAGCTCTCAGCTTTCTGAAAGTAAGCCAAGGGCACATATGGATGTGTACTCTACACACTCGTGCACCATCCCTGAAAGTGTCCACAAAGAAGAGCCCAGCAGAGAGAACAGTAGAATAAAGTGTTGAGTTTAACTGTGATTTACAGAAGTCCCGCTGAGCCTCAGACGGAGAGAATAAAGGAGGTGATTAACACTCATGAATGATGGTTTTTAGGTTGTTAAATGGCCGGAGTACTCCATCAGTGTGCGTTTATCATGTATGGGCTATTAGCGCTGAAAAAACTGATATCATTCAAGCACTCGAGCCACGAGCAGAGTTTTCAGCGGAATTTTCTCATGATAGGAACATGCAATTTTGCCCTTTTACAAACACATTTCATCTAATTAGATCTCTAGCCTTAAAAATCTGTTAAACTTTTGTATTTTTTTTTTTTTAAAAGGGCATGCCAGGATTTATCTACCAGAAGTCCTTGTGACCCCACTTCACTAAAAGAAAAGGAAAGGTCACATTTTGAGTCAGACTAGGATTATGTCAAAAGACACATAAAAAGCCTGATTCTGTCAGTGACTTAGTGCTGCAAATGCTCGAACATATTCACATTTTAATCTGCAAAAACAGGTAGCAAACTGTAAATCGGAATTTCAATAAAGTAATCACTATTGATTTTGCGCATAAGACCATAGATGTGATTTTTTTTCCTATTATCGACTGTGACCTACAGCAGCATTTCCTAACACGGTACAGTTACAGCATGCAGCACGTTATCACATCTTCATGTTTGCAAAGGACAAACGCGTAGTTTCAGTTTGGTGAAGTTTAGAAAAATATTGTGGTTTTGGTTCAAATAGATATGCCACTTTTTGTTGGTTACAGTACATTATGAATGTGGGTCAGATATACCGGCAAGTTATATTAGTGGTCTTAGTTTTTAAAGAAGTCAACGTTATTTTGGGGGTTTCATGCAGGACATTTAACTCAAGCCTCCTTGGATAAAGTCTTGTGTTGTGTTTGAGCTTAACCATTGACACTAATAGAGTTTGTCCCTCTAAAGGACATGACCTCACTTTCACCGTTTCTCCTCTAACAGTTACCACAGTTATTCAGGGTTCTCTTACATAATCTGTATCTGGGTCAGTTTATGGTCTTGCTTTCTGAATCAGTATCAGGATGGAAGAAGAAGGTGTATTGATGTATCCCAGCTGGTTCTCTGGATCTGGGACAGCTGTGCATGTTGACATGTTGTTGCTTATCCATGAACACGTTAAATGTGTTGTGTGATTAAACGTGAATTTGATTCTACGTGTGATTGTGTGAGAATCTGCAATTTTCATGCATAATTGTTTAAGAGTCTAAAAATAGTCCTTTCATAACACAAAGACACACAAGCACACACTGTGCATCCTACAGCATTAGATTTTAGTCATCCAATGCTGTTTTCTCTGAGCTCTCTCTCTCTCTCACGCACGCACACACACATACACACACATTCACACATTCACACATCCTCTCATATTGAGGTCAGTGGGTAACTTGTCAATCAGCTGTGTTGGTGCATGCGGCTCTGCTCTGAACTGATGCTGTCAGTGAGGATGAAGATGCTGAGGATGAGGAGGGTGATGGTGATGAACAGGCAGCTTTCTTTCTCTATCAGAGAGATAACACTGTAGGTCTATCACTCGTTACCTTGGTAACCACATTCTGACTAAGTCCCGTCTGCAGCTCGAGCCTCCACTCCTTGCACGCGCAAAGCAGAGCGCTGCCATCGCCGTATCCGTCCCCGGTGCCGTTGTCTGTGAGATGCAGAGCGGTCGTAGCTGCAGTGACCGGCAGGGATGCAGAGGTCCAGTTACTCTGGTTGAGCAGGGGCTGCACGCACGTGCCATTAGGCTGCGCCAGGAGGAAATAATCCGAAAACTGGCTGAAGCCGATAAACAAAGCCGGTATCCAGGTCAGGACCACGAGCTGCTTCTGATGCTTCCCAAAGCCCCCCAGAGACGGCAGAACCGAGCCGTCGATGTGCGGCAGCAGCCGGGGAACCGGGTGCTCAAGCGTGGTGAAGCCGTTCTCAGGCGGGTGGTCCTGCGCCTCCGGCCGGCCGCCTGCCATCACGGCCCGGCCACAAAGAGAGCAGCTGGGCGCAACAGCGGGTGAAGCAAAGCCCCCGCTCTGTTGCTGTCCGCGCACTCTGCGTTAAGCCCTTTGACACAAAGAAAGCCCACCGCGCAGATAAATCCTCCGTGTACCCAACAAGAGCCTGATTCCAAAAATAAGCGGTCTCCGGTCCGTGAAGGTGTGCAGAGGCACCGAATCACCGAGCAGTCGTCCTCATAGCGAGAGAGTACGAAGCGACCAAGGGATGTCCGTGAAGGGAGGCTGTGTCAGGAGGAGAGGGGTGAGAAGAGGATCCCTGAGGCGGCTGGACTCGGACAGGCAGGCATGCTCACCAACATGAGGTTTGTATTCCATGAGTACAGCTGCTACAGCGGGATCCATCCATGTGGAGCTGAACTGGGCCAGGCCTGCTGGTGGTGAAAGAGTGCAATATGGAGCTGTATCCACACAAGGATCCACTAAACATCTGCTGGTCCCTTATCCACGAGCGCCACAGGTCTCATACCTGTCCAGACTGTGACCTCCTGAAGGTGCGCATCACTAAGAATTCAAAACACCCGAGCTCCCAGTCATCCCCGGTCCACCCTGATGGTGCTGGGTTCAGAGACGTTGTAGAAACGCTGCTCGGTTTGTCGCCGTCTAGTCAATGGGACACGGTTCCAAAGCGGGGCTTGGAGCAGAGATGTGGGGGGGTGGGGGTGGGGGGTGGGGTGGGGGGACCAAGCCCCGCCCTCCATCGGTCGCGCTATGCGCTGCGATTGGAGATTCTTCAAAGGACGACTGCACCACTGACGGGCATCTGCAGGCAACAATGATCCCCTTTGTGCAGCCCCTGCCCTTTCCACTGAATGTTAAGCTTGTTATCATTCAATCATTTCTCATTGTCATTGATTTTGGATGATTTGTGATGAAATGATGAAGAGGAGTAGCTAATGCAAGTGGTGCGTTAGCTGAATGTCCCACGGAGGCTGTTTTGCGTCATACGATTTTTTTTTTTCATAACCACCATAAATAGGCAGTATTAGTTACTGCCTGGGCTGAGGAGACAATAGAAGGATGTTAGGGATTTAAGATGATGTGTGCAGCCTGACAGCCGCGAGGGGGCGCCAAACGACCACTTTAGGCGTCCTTGCACCCAGCTTGTCAATATTTAACAGATAATCAGCAGAGCGATAATAGAGAAATAAACAATAAATTACGCACATGTTGCATGATCAGTGGCGCAGTGAAGCCAAGAGGTGAGATTCAGATAAACGGACACACACGTATGAGGTGTTGGTGTGTGCGCGGCTGCTCTCAGCGCGTGAGTGACCTTGAGATTCAAGTGAGTGGCAGATTTTCCCTCAGCAGCAGAGAGGCCTGCAGCCAAGATAATGTGACAAAGTGGGCGTGCGTGTCTGTGTAGATTTAGTCCTGTGTTCACCTGACAACAGCCTTACAGTTTACTCCTGATGCCTCCAATTGGCATGGGCCTGGTATTCAGGGTGCGGCTGACGGTGTGGCAGGGAGGTGACAACTTGTGGTCATGTCTCACCTCCTTCCTCACCCCACCCTGCTCCTCTTCCTCCTCCTCCTCCTCCTCAGAGACTTATCAAGGTTTTAGATCCAGGAGGAGGAGGCTATGTATGTGTATTTATGTGTCATCTGTTATAGTCTGCCAACCACACCCATGTTATAAGGCATACCAGAGCCCACACACACACACACACACACACACACACACACACATACACATGCACACACGCACACACACACACACACACACACACACACACACACACACACACACATACTCAAATATACAGTGCATATAGCTGTTGCCTATACAAGTTACTTTTGATCAAACATTTAATTAGTGATTGGAAATTAGCATTGACATGATTTATTGGTGTTCAGTTGCTGCAACTCCATTTTACATCTGAATGGCGATACACAGTACACATCTCGATATTTTTTCCTGCAAATAAATAACAACAACAAAGCCAACAAAGATCTATTTTGGGGCTTTTTGGGCCTTTAATTGAGAGATAGGACAGTGGATAGAGTCGGAAATCAGGGAGAGAGAGAGGAGAATGACATGCAGGAAAGGAGCCACTGGTGGATTCAAACCTGGGCCGCCCGCTTGGAAGACTACAGCTTCCAAAGATGGGGCGCGCGCACTAACCACTGCGCCATCAAGTCAAATCCTCAGGGACCAAATGTCACACAGACACTTTTGTTAAAAATCTGATGCACGATGTCAACAACATGTGCATGAAAAATGACGACCTGTTTGTGAAATAAATATAGTGATATCAAATGAAAATGCTCCTCAAAGAAAATAAAAATATTTCCTTTCCTGCAAAACAAAATGTAGCTGTGTATATCGTTATGCAGGAAGTTTTTGAGTTTTGCTCAGAGAGGGAGCGAGAGGAGAAAGAGGTGAACTGCTGGTGGAGAAGCAGTCTTTACTTTTTCTTTTCTCGTTCTTCACACAAACTTGCCAGAATCACTCAAGACCTGTACTCACATACTTTTGTTTTCTGTTAAAAAGGGAAAAAAAAGGCAGGCTGTGTTTCAGAACCACATGTTTGACATTTTTAGAAAGCAGGCTGCAGCCAGCAGCATTCAGCTCAAAGCAATAGGTCAGTTCAGTTCAGAGGGTGCAGCAACTTCTGTTCCCGTTCCCTTTCTCATTCTTTCTCTTTCTGTTTGTGTGTGCAGCTAAATATAATCCGGATCAAATTCTGTGGCAGATTTTCTGGAGTAATATTTCTGAACACATGCTGTATATTCTATTCTTTGAAAGCCAGAGTCACAGCAAAGTGAAGTGGGGTTGTGATCTCATGCGATGGTTGGTGGTGATTCTAGAGTCTGTTAGGGCCACAGGCAAAATGTCTGCCCCAGCCCGAAACTTCCTCTTCATTTTTCTTGGTTGACTTTCATTTACAAACTTTGGTTTTCAAAGCAATAATGCATAAAACACTTAGCAGGGCAATGAGAGAGTGCTTTCAGATGGGGCCTACTTAGGGAGGTCTCCTCCTGTCAATGCGAAATTTGTACATTTTGGTCCACTGCTTTGGTTAAAAGTTTGTGAGCCATCAGTGGTCCCCTGCTGGTCTGCCTGTTGACAAGCAGCGCCTCTGGGGATGGTGTTTAGCCCTGACACACAAAGGAGATCATTGGCTGTCGGTCCTAGTTGGACTGTCGATGAGCGATTGTCGCCCTAGTTTTTGCAGTGTGTCCGGCTCCGTCGCTACCCGTCGGCCAACATTACAGTTTTTAGATAATTAATATAACTTGGTATTATGAATTTGAGATTAATGGAAGTTTCAAAAACTTAAACAACTGTTTAATGTTTTGGAAAACATTCCTGTTTCTGGTACTGGCACATTCAGAGTCCATGAAGTCTTGAAAATGCAGAAACATCACAAACTACTTTACTGCACTTTTCTGTTGACAGGCCTCGAGTGAAAGACTTCCTCTAATAGGAGGTGGAGCCGCTTAGTTTGTCTCCATGAGACCAGTGACCCACATTGGTTCAGGTGTCATGTGATAGCTCTGTAATGGCCCTTCCCATTCTACCCCTCCCCCCTACCTGACTCTGTCTCTATACCCCCAGGAGGCATATCCATGTCACCCTGCTGCACAGGTACACCTCTGTCACAGGATCAGTGAGTGAGCTACAGCAGCCCGTCTGCTCTCCTCAATGGAACAGATAGCACTAGCAATCTTATTTTTAACACCTTCTATAAATATACAGCTATACCCAGCTATCACAAATAAATGACAATGATAAAAAGAACATGGGGAGATGAAGGCAGCCATGTTGAAACTGAGCACAGCACTCCTCACTGTTCCCAGCACAGTCATATCTTTCTTTCCTTGATGCAAAGTCCCTTAGGCAACGACTGAGCCTTCCTTATATGCTCACTCTATCTCTCTCTCGTTCCCACACACACACACACACACACACACACACACACACACACACACACACACACACACACACACACTACACAGGTGCAAACACAACAGTAAAGGACTCATCTTTTCTTGCCCCTCCTTGTCTTTATGCCCTCAAAAATTACAGCTGTCAAACCTGCTTCAATAAAAATCCTGACCCCTCCCCTTTATACGATTGTATGTGTGTGTGTTTTGTGCAAATATGTGTGTGTGTGTGTGTGTGTGTCTTTTATGGTTTCTGCTTGCTTCGTACCCGGCCCCACCCTAACCTCCACCACAGTCCCTATCAGAACATTTAAAGCATGTGCAAATAGCGTCTGTGTATACAAAACAAATCCAAACGACGTGGGAAAGTTCAGAATTCATCCGCACTTATATAAGTTTTAAAACATCTTTAATGATTCACTTTTAGAATAACAGTGTGACACATTTCATTCGAGGGCGATACTCAGTGTAATTCTTGCTGCAAGGCCTGATTCTGACTGTCTTTTCCTCCTCATAATTTACTGAAAGCAAAGTCAGCATTTCAAGTTTTAGCATGAAAGGTGCATCAAAGGTCCACGGAGGTCTAAAATTCACATAGGCTGTTGTCACATATGCACTCCTAAAAATGTGCATATAATTTCAGGACAACAATATGAATGTCACGGAGCATTATCTCCCCCTCTTTGCCACCTTCAGAGGTAGAAACAGACGCTTTACAAGTGGAAGATAGGATCAGCGGAGCCATCAGGACAACAGTACTGTGTGTGTGTGCATGTCTGACTGTGCGTATATGTGGAGCTCCTGCTGTGCCCTGCTCTCTCGTGCTTCCTCAACACTAACACACTGTGAATTCACACAGACTGGGACGCCATCACACCGTTGCAGAATGAATATGAACGTCTTAAGGAATAATGTCAGCCGAGCTTTGTCACCGCCCTGTTGCGGAATTGCACTATGAAAAGGGCTTAAGTCTATGCCTCTGTCTTAGCCAAAAAGTTGCACTTGAACACACCGCAAAGACTACAGCCATCGGCCAACCACCACGTACGTTCTGCACATGAGCG